AAAAATTCAATTATTTCAAGAAATAACAAACCACTATTGTTGCTTTTCCCAGGATTAGGTGGGTTAGCCTGCATGTGGTTCGGTAAGGGTGGTTTATGGGGGTTTGATGGGTTAGAGGCAGGTTGGGAAGTTGAGGTAGCTTGCTCATGCATAGGATTAAATTATTTCAAGAAATAACAAACGACTAAACTTGTTTATCCCAGGGTTAGGTAGATTAACCTGCTGATAGTTTAACGGGGATGGTTTCTATGGGGTGAAACACCCCTTAAACATATGTTTTTTTTTAAAATCCGGAAACACGTTAATTTAGTTTTGGTATTTTCTCATTATCAGTGCGATTTTTAAATTACTCAAGCTGATTTACTATATTACATGTCGTAAAACAGTACAAAAAATAGTATATTTACCCTATTAAAAAGGGGGTTGCAACCCTTCGGTATAAATGTTATGTCCTTAAAAGCGCCTTTTTATAAGAAATTTTTTAACGTTGAGTTTACGGAAAAATATTCATTTGATGCTGAGAAATTAAAAAAAACTGATTTTAGTGGTTGATTTTCAGGGTGTATTTCACCCCTTAAAAGCCCTTATGGTCCGATAAAAAAACCCGTATCTAATTTTTTTCAAGTACTACAACATATCCCAAAATCATTCAAATCGATGAGGTCGGGTTGGGGTGGTTCCCTTGTAAGAGAGGGGGAGCGCGCAAGTGTTCATTTTTCAGTTAAGCCGAAGCTGTTGTGCGGGAAACCGTCAAAATTTTCCACTGTGTTTTACTAATTTCCGATAGAAGATCTATTGATTTTGAATTCGCGATTCGCGCGAATGATAGCGACGTGCAGTAAAATAAATGCTTGATACTATTCTGAGCAGGCAATGGAAACTGTTCATTGCCATTTCAAGAAAACCTGGAATAATTATAAAGTATCTAAAAATATTGCCAATTACTTTGATCAACTTTTGAGGCCCACACTAGTTTAGATTACGTAACATACTGTCTTGATCACCTTATAATATTCTTAAATAATAAATTTTATAATAATGGAAAGAAGGGTAGTAGTAAGAGTTGGAAATTCACTTAATTTTAATTATATTCAGCAACGTTTCGTCAGCACATTTGCTGACCTCTTCAGGCTTTATTAGCAGAAAAACAACAAATTATTAACAATGAAGTTGCAAATGTAATTTTAATGGCATATAATTATATGTATATGTGTGTACCTGATTTCTCACGTAGTCAAATTATTATAGGCTAAAACGAATAGCTCGTATCCAGTCACGTTACAATACAGTATAAAATGAAGTATTTCAACACATATGTATAGATATTCTTCATTTAAGTATAATAATAATGATTTGACTCTAAGTATAATAATGATTTAACTCAAACCGTCACATCTATAGCAAAATGCTATGGATTACCAAAAATACATAAAGAAAATGTGCCACTACAACCAATAATTACATCAATTAATAGACCTACTCACAAATTACGAGTAGCAAAATTCTTATATAGTGCTCTTAAAACAGTTATAAATAAACCGAACTAGAGGCCTGCAATGGCTCGGTCGGTAGGGCGACAGACTCGCACCCGGTAGGCCCGAGTTCGATTCCCAGTTCCTGCTGATTGATACAAGCACCACTGAAAAAAGTTTCATGTGCTTTGTTCTCAAACACATTGCAAGCCTCCGTCGCTGATTAGCACTGATGGAGCATATATAGAGCGACGTTAAATAAAAAAAATAAATAAATAAACCGAACTCTCACATTTTAAACAGTGAACAGTTAAAACAGAAATTAAAAAATTACCTACAGTCGCTATTCCTAATAATTGCAACATCTTCAGAAAATGTTCATCTGTGTTAAAAAAACATAGCATTATGCCTATCCCGTTATTACAAAAACCATTACAGGAGTTTATCCGTTTAGGAAAAGATAAATCTGATTTATTAGACAACACTGGTATTATCTACAATTTTAACTGCAAACAATGTTCAGCGGTCTACATAGGTGAAAGTAAGCGATCCTTAAAAATTAGATTAAATGAACACAAAAAAAAATCATTGACTCAGATACAGTAGTAGCTACACATAGAAGAACTTTCTCACACGAATTTGACTGGGACAAAGCTAAGATATTGGATTATGAAAAGAATTATAAGAAACGCAGAATATCCGAAATGTTACACATCGGCTTACATAAAAACACTTTAAATAGAAAAGAGGATATACAATATCTTAGTCATATTTATAAGCTTTTATTAATATCGATGAGGAAGGGATGATAGATGGAGAATATATATATATATATATATATATGTGTTGAAATATTTAATTTCTTACTCTATTGTAACGTGACTGTCCACGAGCTATTCGTTTCAGCCTATAATAATTTGACTACGAGAGGAATCAGGTACACATATTGTAACGGTAAACATCTTATTAGCACTGACAGCCCAATCATGCGGCTGCCTGCGGGGGCAGCACCTATCGGTTGGGGAAAGATGTAATGAGGGAATTCGGCACGCGACGGGACGGAACGCGCGCGTATGAAAATGAACCATTTGAAGATTAGAACCCGCACACTCAGCTGCTGCTAGTAACAATTAGAGTTTTTCCCGAGTTTTCTTGGAGTGCTAAGAGGAGTCAACTGATAAGGATCGACAGGAGCTGTGCCTGAGCCAGACCAGAGCGAGTACGTGCTAGTGTGCGTGAGCGAGGGGTTTCGCCATCGAGGGCGAAACCGAAAACGCGAGATACCTCGTGACAAAGACAGACTTTCCCGCAACTAGAGTGCGAACTTTTTCTCTCGTTCTCTGTGCGACTGCTAATAAGGTAAGCTGGCCAGCTTAATTTCGCGATTGTTATATAATTGTCAATAACTAATCTCTCGTACGGAATTTGAACGTTTAGGGAATCCCGCGCGCTCTTCGATGCGATAGCGCGCTTAATTAAATAGATGGATATCTACTCCGTTACAATATACATATAATTATATGCCATTAAAATTACATTTGCAATTTTATTGTTAATAATTTGTTGTTTTTATGTTAATAAAGCCTAAAGAGGTCAGCAAATGTGCTTACGAAACGTTGCTGAATATAATTAAAATTAAGTGAATTTCCATCTTTCACTATTTCCCTTCTTTTCATTATTACAAAATTTATTACTTATGTACAATACTTTGCATTTATGAAAAAATATTTTCACGAGTTTGATTTCATTTCATAATTATGTATATATATTTTTATGTGAAAAAGAAAAAACTTATTTTGCCTACTTTAATCAGCAAAGACCTTAACTAATTTACTTTTCAGAGACTTGACAAAATTCGTAGCTCCAAAGAGTTTTTCGTATTATTTTTTCTAAGCTTGTCGTAAGATAAATCACCAGATTCCCGCGGAATGCTATAAATGTTCTACTTAAACAAACAACGATTTTCAGACTGATTTTTTACCAATAACTACCTCTGCAGATAAGGTAGTTTGAATAGAAAAACTTCAGGAATTGCATTTTCTTCTCTGGAAACGATAGCAATCTTCTTGAACACAAATTTGTTCATGGAAATATTGAATTCCTGTACGTGTAGGACAAACTCCATTTGACTACATAAAAAATACTTTGATGAGCATTTTTATCACAAGCATACATGGCTTATAATCGTCACTCCCCATTCGTCATTGTGAAACTTGTAATTTAGTTCTTTTCAATCGACAATATTTCTGGCTTCAAAATGACAAGCATACATATAAATAGTGGTATGAAAAGCTGAAGTGTAGCCCTTTTTAATGGTTATTTCAGATTTAAAAATAATAAAAAATGACTTTGTTATGGATGTTGTAAATATATTTACAAATAAAAATCCGGAAAAGTCATATCAGACAAACCAGTGCGGGGTAATTATTTTTGCGCGACCAATTCATTTATGATGATATTCTTCATTGAAAAAATTTTGCACTGTACATGCAAAATGTTGAATCCGATATCAAAAATAAAAGTTTTGATCATAAAATGTAATATTTACTATGGAGAAAACACAAAGATGAGCAAAAAGATCAAAGATAATATAAGTCAAACCACTTATAATTGTAAATTTTATTAAACCTTACTCTCATCAAATGTAAACGAAAAAATTAACATTATTAAAATCATCCCTAAACGACCTCAGAAAGTAGGCTTACTTCGTACACAATACCTTAGCTGAACGATAAAAACTCTGTCCATTCTGAACATAAGATTAATAATAAAGGTTACTACTTGGACTTTCAAAGGGCCTTGAAAATTAGTTCAAGCTCAACTTCAAGGTCACCATTTGATGACCTTTTCCGTCTGTTATAAATTTAGTGTAAGTCATTTTTCACTATAAAGTAGTAATCCGCTATTCAATCCCTTTAACTAAAATGGATCACCCTGTGCATCACTGCTCATTTCAAGGTAGTTATATAATACTGTACAATATAAACATAAATCGAAAAATATAATTATAAAAGACATAATTGAAATGATAATTATTACAACTACAAATTATCATAATAATTGATCAATAAATCATGGCAACAGAAATACAAACATTTAATGATATAAAGATAAATGGAAAACTATAGTAAATCATTCATTTGCAACATTCTAATAGCTATTATTAAATAGCCTTATCTAGCAATGTTTAGGTTTGCAAAAGAAATGGTTATTAAAAATATTACGACAATAACCCTTTTATTTTTACGCCTTGTCTTATATCAATCATATGAAAGAAAAGAACTAAATAAATTATATCTTAAAAAGCATATGGTCGATTGCATTGAAACTTTGAATATATGATCGCAAACTAAATTCCACTGGTAGTGAAATTAGTACATTATTTCTTATTACTTACTGTTTTACTACAGTATATATTATATATTATATATTATTATATATTAGATATTAGTATATTATTTATTTTTTTACTTTTTTATATTTTATTATAATATATAATAAAGTTACTAATATTTACAATTATTTTAGGAAATGCTCTATGATTTGGAGAATAAAACCCTCATATGGAAATTAGTGAAACTATTAGAACCAGCAAAAATTGTCCATGCAAGATGTACCTCATTATTCACAGAAAGTAATATATTTGCACAAGTGACTACTAGGTTTCACACTCAACAGGTATTAAAGAAAATATCTTAACATTCATTTGTATTATTTATTCATGTTGATTTGAATGTCATAGAGCAGAAAACACAATAACTTAAACTCAATAAACTGTGCATAGAATGGACATCGTCATATTTTAGGAATGAGAAAAAGCGTCAACTATTGGGTCTATAACTTAATCGTGCGGTTTGCTGAGAGATGAAGTAACTTGTATTATTCCATCGTTCCAATATTCCGAACTTGCGTTGGAAAGCTACTGCCATTGTGCGTCTTTTTATTATATGTCATTCATTTGAAGCGTAAACAACAATAATTTTTTTTCACTCAAATATGTCGAAAATTGTGCCTGAAAAAGTGTTTTTGTGGGGAGTTCTTCTTCATTACTTTATAATGAAAAAAACTGCTGCCAAAAGTCATCGTATTTTAGTTGAAGTTTAAGCTGAATATGCTCTAGCTCTATCGAACACAATTAATCCGTTTGAAGAGAGCAATAGCCGAAAATCATCCGGAATATGCGACCAGACACGAGGCAATAATTTTCCAGCATAACAACGCTCGGCCCCATGTTGTTATTCCGGTTAAGAACTCTTTGGAAAACAGTGGATGGAAAGTTTTACCCCATCCGCCTTATAGCCTAGACCTTGCCCCTTCTGACTACCATTTGTTTCGGTCGATGCAGAACGCCCTCACTGGAATACAATTTACATCAGAGCAGAGTATCAAAAATTGGCTTGATTCATTCTTGGCTGCCAAGTCAGCACAGTTCTTTTTGGATGGGATCCACAAATTACCAGAAAGATAGGAAAAAGTTATAGCTTCAGATGGACAATACTTTGAATAATACTATTGTACATGTTTTTCTTAAATAAATGTTCAAATTTAAAAAAAAATCGTACTAATTAAGTTTTAGACCCAATATACAAATAAAATTGTAGAATATACATTAAAATTTTTTCTTCATTCAAAACTATATTTGAAATCACAGACATCATAATAGATGCAGTAAGTGGACATTTTAAATTACAGACTTAGTTCCACCTGAGAACTAAAAAGTAACCGTGTGGGATTTTTATGGTGACTTGTTCATATAATGTACATCAACTCGCTAGAGCATAAACTTTTTTCCAAGTTGCCTATTGAATCTGGGAAAGTACGTAGCTAGAAAATCCACGTGAGATTCGACTCTCTTTCTCTTCCTTTAGTTTGAAATTATCTGCTAGGTAGCTGTTAGAAATATCATGATGCTATTCCAAGCGGTAAGACAAGAAAAATTGTTATACAAAATGTAACAGAGAAATATAATTAACGTAAATTATTGAAAAAGGAATGGATTCGGAACGTTCAATTGTTGAATAATATACCGGGTGTGTACATTAATCGTGCACGAAACTCATGACAATGAGAATTGATAGTCTAATTACAATGACTTTCAGTTTAATAATACTTCTTTTAAAAAAATAAATATGTGTCAGGGTTACAGCGAGTTCACTGGCTCTGTGTACGGCACTCTTCTCGTACGAACACAGCGATCGAGTATGACTCTGTCAACAGAGTGTATATGTTCGTGTCATTGCAGGATCTAGAAAGGGAGAGTTGCGGCTGGCAAGGCAATGCCGCAAAGGAGAGAATGTGAAGAGCGAGAAAAAGAAAGAGAGAAAATTTGACTGATGAGGAGTAAGGAGAGCGGCGCGTGCGGCGAAAAAAAAAGAAAAAAGCAGTCAGACGTAAGCTAAAGAGTAGATTGGTTGTCTGAGCCTGTAAACGTTTTGAGAAGAAGGAAAAAAGTCGACTGGCGTAATAAAGCCACAGTTACGCACTTCATCAAGAATAGCCCAAGATTTGGATTATTGACAATTAGCTAGATGTCCGGTGTCATTCGTGGGCCACGTGTGGTCAAAATCATCAACCATCATACCGCGGCACGAGGTTCTAGTCGATCGCGTGCCACTAGTTGGCCAATACCAACTGCCAAGAGGAATTCGTTTCCAATGACGTTACCTCTCCTTCAGCAAGTTAGCAGAATACGGTGGGTCGTCTTTAGGTTTACTCTCTTTCTTATACCAGCTCTCACTCGGACACAGCATACCTTTCTGTATTAATCCACGTGATTAGCGTCGCAAACTCGCTCAAGTCTCCGCTGCGTTAAACGCAAGTTTGAGCGAACGCGCTCACTTGCAATATTTTATTATTGTAAATCAAGCATTAAGAATCATATGTATCAATAAACGGCGTAAGTTTTGGGATCGCCAATTTGTACTGTAAATGGATCATTCTTTTCCGCTTTCATCTCTACCAATATCCATTGCGTGTAGTTCCTTGTGAGAGTCAGCGCCTGTTCTCTTAACCGAAGTTATCTGCGTTAATTAATTAGGAGAGGTCGGCTCACGGCGCATGATAATCGACGCTCACGCAAATGGAAAAAGAAAAGTCCAAAAATGAAGTACATTGGTGCGTATACAAAATTCAAAACAGGATTAAACATAGTTCTGACGATGATCTTGAAATGAAATGAAATGCATTAATAGGATTATAGACAGGCTGCTTGGTAATCCTTTTCCTCTTAGCCTGATAAACACGCAACCAACTGTTATTCCAGACGCGGGGGCCAGTAGAAATGTACGGTCACACACACATGTGTACGCGACCCCAGATATACAGAGGCAAAGAGACAGAGAGAGAGAGAGAGAGAGAGAGAGAGAGAGAGAGAGAGAGAGAGAGACGGACACCGACCTCCACAGTCCAACGACCACCTTTTGGTTGCTACTCTTCCTGTTACTCCTACCATTGCTGTTGTTATTGCTCCTACCGCTCGCATGCGATTGCTGACCATTTCTGCTCTTCACTTAGGTAAACGGTCGCACGAACCAGTTTGTGCATTCGGTGGAAAGTCCTATTATATTACCGAATAGATAGTACGGCACAGTACCCTTATGATATAATAACGATGCTTTGCTTAATGGATTTACTTCTGTGAAAAGACATCTTGCTCTGCCGTATTTCCGTCTCCTTCATATCTATCTATAGCGCTAACACGACCCTTGAAGTTTGATTCTCCAAAGCCCCAAACTCAGCGTTGCCTACTCCACAAAGGGTAATAGCCAGGGTAAGTATCCACCGGCCGAATACTTGTATCAGGAACAGCATGAAAAGGCTGTGGCCAAATATGATACCTCTAAAAGTAGGATTTAGTCTCGGCTGACGGAAACCTAGAGCGTACAAGGCTATGAGCTAGAATTCTCCACGAGTGATATCAGTGACACGGCCAGCTCGTTGATCCGTTTCCACCTGTGGTTCTTCCGACACCTCTAACGACGGTCATCAGCCGAGACTAACTGTTGACTGAGGAACGACGAATGTATGCCATGGCGGTTGAAAACTGACAGTCCTGTCGGTTGGTCCAAATCCGACTGCAACCGCATTGCTTGTCTTAATATCTTACATGATTAGAAAGAGATAGTATAAGCCTTGGCGACCATGGTTCCGAACATGTTCATAGGGGTGCATAAAAAAAAGAGTCAGGTTAAACTGTACAGGCACTGAATCAATTACGTGCACGCAATAAAACTTAAAAAAATGCAATTGTTGTCTTGAGTGAAAAGGAAGTAGAAGTAAGGAGGATCGATAAAGGCCGAGAGAGACAATCCTACAACTTTGCTGTATTAGGTGAAGTAGACCACCCATCAAAGAGAATCGTTGCCTGCCATTTAGCATCTACATCGACTGGGCCGCTTTTCATTGTCACTAATCTCTTAATCTCTCGCTTCTGAAGTGATAGATCGCTCTTCTCCCCCCCCCCCCTTTCTCTTTCTCACGATATACGTGGTGCGGCATGTCGGCGCCATCGCTGTCAAACTGTGCAATGCGCGAGTAATGGGCAAAGTATCATTATTTGTTGCGTATTATTTTTCCTTCCTCTCGCGATTTCATTGACTATGTTATTAGTTGCAACTGCGTGCGTTTTTATTTCCTGTATTATTTCGTGAATATTTATTTAATTATTTATTTTATTTATTACCAGAGTTAGTACATAAGTTACATAGTTAGCAAAATACATAAATGACCGGATCCATTTCAGATCGGGCAGGCCTACGGCAATGATATCTCCGATTGACTCGGCTGTGGAGTGTTATTCTACTTCAAAAATAAGCCGACACGTATTTTTTTTTTTTTTCGATTAGACCTTTACATCATTTTTACGAGTATTTTAAAAAAGTGGTTAAAAAATAAATTTTCTAAAAATCAAATATTAAAATTTAAAAAAATGCTTTATATTATCTAATTTTTTTTACTTAATATGTTATTTATAGCTTATTTTACTGTATTTCTTATACTCTTTCGAATGCGCCATGCAGAATAAAAAAATATTGAAAATTGGCGGGAAAAACTCAATTTTTCGAAAAAATTTCAAACTCAATTTTCTCAAAAAAGCCATCGTTTTTTTTTCAAATTTTTATGATAGATTAAGCATTACAAGACCTTTAAATTGGTATAGGAGTGATCGCGTACTTTTACGTTTTAGTGATAAAATATCGATTTTTCGTTTTTTTTTTGACCAAAACATTGATAATTATAGTTTTAACATGTGAAACGTGTTTATATATATATATATATATATATATATATATATATATATATATATATACATCCATACATACATATACAAGAATTGTACGTTTGATAGTAGTCTTGCGATTTTGATAGAATTACATTCCTTCTTCTATAAATAGCTTATAAATATACACGTGCTCGCATTGCTGATAGCACATAGTTCAGATTCTATCAGTCGTAAATTGTGTATACACAGAGAAGCATGCATGCTTTCTAGATGTATATTATATATTAAAGCAAGTGTACGTTATAACAAAAATCACTTTAGATCATAACTGAGTGTTTTATTTCTGTGTTTATAATTATGACTCCACATAGTACATATTCAGATAAGAGAGTTAAGTGTTGTGACTTTTTAAAAAGGCATAAATCATGTGTATATAAAACTAAAAACAAGCGATTTA